CCTTTAAACAGATACATGTATGTGATTTATCTTCTAAATTAATATATGTTCTTAATTAATATTTGTCTTTAATTTTTGTAACACTTGACCTTTCAACTTTGTAAGTGAATCTTCACGTTCCAAAGCTATATTTGTTCCTATAAATACAATTTTTTAACAATATTTTTATAAAAATATTTATATGCGATACAATTTTTGTGTGTGGAGGGGACTAGAGAAGCTCTAATCAAGGCAAGAGGATTTGTGTCAAAAATTATAAGGCGTAATGTGATTATAGGAATGAATAATACTTTATTTACTAGAATATCGAAGCTTGATGTATTTTTTTCTTCTTATTTGTCAAGATCAGAATTATGGTAAGACCCCTTCATTTATGTAGTTGAATACCACTCCCATTAACTTGTCTTCAAAGATTTTAACTTTTATTTTTATGATCAAAAGTTGAATGTTTATTATTATAACTTTGTTTTAATTTGCAGTATTCATAAAAAATAGGGAAAAGATTGTCTTAGAATTTTTCTATTTTTCTTTGGTAGCTTTATGCTAAACTTGCTCCTATATATGATACTTTTTTCTTTGTATTTGTAATTTTGTTTTAAGATAATATTTGATTGGAGGGTGTATTTTTTGCTTTAGAAAATGAGACAAATACAATCATAAAAATAGTGTATAAGGCATGTAAAACAATTAATGCCTACAAGATATTCTAATTTCAAATTATTAATAATTACATTTTTGCATTTTAAATTTTAAAAATTTGAAAAGAATCATTCTTACATGTGCTTGTGGATAAAATCTATAGTTTTTAGACAATTTTCATTAAAATTATCGTGAGATCCAAATCCCAAAATCAAAAAAATTGTACACCAAAATGCTTAAGAAGTTAGAAGATCTTTTATCCTTTGACCAAATATTGTTCCTATTAATTTTTTAACAAAAAAATGTAAAATACACTTAACAAATTTTTAATTGTAAGAATACTAATATTGTCATTTTTGCTCTCCATTAAATTAAAATTTAATTTATTTAATTAAATATTAATATTTTATATAATTACATAATTCAAATATCAATCATCGCACTTTAAATATTTAGTTATTTTCTTCTAATAAGCTTTTTATTTATAAATTTAAGAGAATTTCATCTTTTACTAATTAATGTCAAATATTTTATCTTCGTGAAATGTATATTTTGTGTAACTAAATGCAAAAAAAAAATTCTTCAAATTAATTATACAGTACAATTTTTTTAAAAAAATTAAATTATTTATCATTTATTCATCATTATGAAATAAACGTATAACGCACGTACCTATATACTAGCTAATTCAATAACGGTGTAGGATACATAAAAATGGATAAGCCAAACTAGGATTCCGTTAGTTCCACCCCGTCCGACCCGACCCGACCCGGGAAAGCAAGGATTTGGTTAGGGTTTTTAACTCTTCTTTTCAAACTTGAAGATAATTTTGACTCCTTCCATAGATTTTTGAGAGAAATTTTGCAAGTAAAAATGCCAACTTTAACGAAGTTATTCACAATGGAAGAAGCTTCTGAGCACAACACTAAGGATGATTGTTGGGTCGTCATTGACGGCAAGGTGCTTTTTGGGATTTTTTGTTTTTTTTTTTACTGTTTATGGGTTTAATTTGCTTTTATGGGTGTTTTCTTTTCTGGGTTTAATCTGCTTTTGAGCTTTTTGATGCCCTTTTCTTGCTTTTGTTTGATGGTGTTTTGGAATGTATTCTTATTGTAAATATGATTGATTCAATATTCTCTAAGGTGCTTTATGATGGATTCAAAGTGGTTATGATTGTCTTTTTATTTTATTTATAAAAGCATAATATATAAACGTGATCTTTAACTGTGCCCTCTAACTTCGGCTATGCATAAATAGTTAGTTAAATACGTATAGAATTTATCCGGTAGACACACAAGTCCGATTTAGTTGTTCAACTTTATATACAAGTTTATGTATACACTCAAGTTGGAGGGCGTAAATGCTAGTTGAGGTCGAGTTAAAAGGATATATTTATGTATTATGCGTTATATAAACTAGTTTTAGTTTTTCTTCACAATGACATATTAATTACTAGGATTTATGGTTCTTTTTAATTGCCAAATGCTACTTTCGAGTTTTTTTTTAATGTTAATAATCTAACTTGTTTGCCATGTTGAAGTTCGTTTAGGATTCTGAATATTATGTTATCATATGTATCTGCTTAGTGTCGGGTTAGACTGGCCTTTGTTCATTGCGAACGTAGTGTATAGGATTGGGAATGGGACGGGCTCAAATGCCCTCTAATGAATATGTAATAATGGACTTAGTAGAAAATAATGTAGTCTTGATCATTGTTGACTATCTTTGCTATGGGTACATCCAGTTTTTTTGCACTAAGAACCCACGTGCATATTCTTCAACATGAGTGCATGAAGGCAAAGAAAGGATCTTTCTAATAGAGCAACCTTGCTTCTTTTCTACTAAGCATAATGGCGGTAAAGTGTCAGCTGTTTCAGGGCAGTGATGGTATCTGATTCTTATTGGAATTGGGTGAGTTAGTTAGAAAAATAGAGTACAGATTTTGACTTGCTAATTTAGAAGATAATCACCGGTCTTTTCTAGTTGTTATCAGGTAGATTAATGATGCGATGAAGATTGAGTACTGACGTGACACCACGGCTAGACGATTGAAGATTATGAAAACCATATAAAATCATACATCAGACTAAGAAGACTACTGATAATCATCACACATTCTGATTCGAATGCTCCCGAACTTAATAACTAATGCAACAGGAGCCTATAAGTTTATTCATAGAGCGAGTTAATCACTACGAGCTGTAAATAACATGGCTCAGTGCAAATAAAAGTTCATTCACTACCTTTCTCCTTTGTGGTCTGTGGAAAGGTGGTTGCATCGGGGCAGGAAGGTTTCCATTGATTAATATCTATAATTTGAGAATTTTTTTCTTTCTTAAAACTAACTCAATGAATTTCTTGGGGATAAGTTGGTGACGGCTATCTTTAGTTTTCACTTGTGCTCACACAAATCTCTAATGCTATGAAAAGTTTATGCAACGTGACATTGCAGCTTTCGAGGAATTGTAATAATGGTTATTCGGTCCATGCTTTTCTCATAGTTTTTATCTGCTTGTTTCCATATTAAGCTGACTAATTTCATACATGTTGTGTCTTATGATTTGGACAATTTTTTCTTTAGCATAGTTCAAGGCCTCAGGCTTATAGCTTGTTTGGCCAAGCTTCCAAAATTGTGCTTTTTGAATAAGTACTTTTGCCAATAGTAAAGCAGTACTTTGTGCTTGGTAAATGTTCCAAAAGTGTTAAGGGGAAAAATACTTCTTTTAGCTTCTTAAGGAACAACTTCTGCTGCTATTCAAAAACACTAATTACCCCCCCTAAAAGTTGGCCAAAACCTCAATTTTCTAAATAAGCACTTTTTGAAAAGAAGAAGAAGCACTTTTGGCTTTCCAAATGCTTGGCTAAATAGGGCGGCTATTATCTTCTTCATATAACACTGTTACAATTAACTTCCATCGCTGCTGTTAATGCAGGATGAATTCCTGATAATTCCCTCTTGCAGTTGTTGAGTTATTTTAACTTAATACAAGTTCCATATTATTGTGCTTGCACATAGGTTAATTATATTCTTTTAGTACAACCATGTTTTTGTGTTAGCCTCAAACTTTAAGATGTTAATTTGGCTTAGGCCACCACTTGCTAGAAATAGTTCTGAAATTACAACACCACCAAGTGTGACTGATGATCTCTCCGGTGTTTTTTACTATTTGCAGCACGATAACTTTTTGTTTGCTCAATTAAGGGCCACACTCAAAAATCATATTCTAAGATAGCTTTATTATCACGATTGAGAGATGGCATGGAAATTATGTTTATGTTTGCTCTGTTGATAGTCGTGTTGTTGTATCAGAAAAATGTCGTGTAGCATTTGAGCTGATATAGATAAAGTTTTATTAGTTTACCTTATTCTCCATCTTGCTGATTCAAATTCTTAATTTCCGCAGGTATATGATGTTTCATCTTATTTAGACGAACATCCAGGGGGAGATGATGTTCTACTTGGTGTTACAGGTACCAATTCAATTGCGTTCTTTGTTTTAAAATTACTGCACACTCAAAATAGTGAAATAAACAGGACTCACTTTTGACCTTGTGATGCATTTTCTCGTAGGACAAGATGCCACTGATGAATTCGAAGATGCTGGACACAGCAAAAGCGCGAGAGAACTTATGGAGAAATTCTTCATTGGGGAGCTTGATACAACATCCTCTTCCATCCCTGAACTTGAGATTGTCAAGAAGGCGGGCAAAGATATTCCTCAGAAGTTAATGGAAGTTACTAAGCAATATTGGTTCGTTCCAGTAGCAGCCGTTGGCATCTCTGTGGTGCTTGGCTTCTTGTACACACGCAAGAAGTAAAATCAGTTCGATATTCCGTCTTTAATGTTAGTAATATTGTGCAACATAGACTGAAAAAATTATTCGTCATATCTTTGGAGGTCCAGGAATTTGGGACATGATATTACTGAATGCCCATTTTTGTTACTGTTTGAGATGAAGGGAAATTTTTAACACAAATTGATCGCAAATAGGCATTTGAATACACAGTTGCTATCATTTTTAGTTAATGAAGATGACCTTTTTGAGGATATATAATAAAGCACTCAGAATGGACATCTACTTTCTTCCCTTTTATTATCTTTAAGTACTGCTAGTGTTCCGGTCAACTTGCATTTTCGAGTTTTTATGATACCAATTGAAGGAAAAACCTTAAAAGACAGATAATATGGATCGGAAATATCAGTTCAGAGATATAGATTTCTTAAGCAAATGATTCACGAAACTGGTTAACTTTTCGAGTAAATTGGTCATGAATTCTTCTGCAAAGACACAAATCTTTGCACGAAATATGTTTAACAATGAGAAAGGAATGAGCCCAGAAAACAAAATGTAGATTGCATTTAACTGTTTTGTCTCTGTTTTCTTTCCAATAATGCATCACATAGACGAAGGGCGTCTGCATTGTATCGAACATTATGTACTCTTACAACATTGGCACCATTCAGAACCCCTGTGGTCACAGCAGCAACAGTTGCTGGATCTCGTTCATCTGCAGCAGGACGAGCACAGACATCGCCTATGAATCTCTTTCTTGATGGTCCAATCAATAAAGGGGTATGAGACAAAGCCAAGCTCCTTCTAGCAATCTCAGCTCGAATGGTAGTCAAACCCGTTAGAATATCCAAATTGTGTTCAGTGTTCTTGGAGAATCCGATTCCAGGATCAATTATCAACCTCCAAGCAGGAATACCGGCTAACTCTGCTTCCTTGAGCCTCACGTAAAGTTCAGATGCTACATCCTTACAAACATCGTTGTATTGCAAGTTCTCGGGGTTTTGCATTGAAGATGGATCACCTCTCATATGCATTGCTACATAGGGTACTCGAAGTGCTGCAACAACACTGTGCATGTTGGAATCCAAACGTCCACCAGATACATCATTTACGAGATGAACACCCCTTTTCACTGCTTCTGAAGCAACTTCCGAATAGAAGGTATCCACAGATAAAAGCTTCCCTTCAGCTTCGGGTATCTTCGTGACACCCTCGATGACAGGAATTAGCCTATCTAGTTCTTCTTCAACGGATATCTTTGAAGCATTAGGGCGTGTGGACTGTGCACCAAAATCAATCATATCTGCGCCTTCTGAAAGCATCAAACGAGCCTGAGAAACTGCTGCTTCTACAGATATATACTTCCCTCCATCGCTAAAGCTATCGGGAGTCAAGTTAAGAATACCCATAAGGGAGGTTTTCAATGACCAGTCCCATAGGTGGTTTCCTACTGGTAATACTCTTTTCATCCCATTTCTCCCCACGAGAGATTCACCTCCTAGTTTTTCCCACAACTCGAAAAGATCACTTGAATGTTTTGAAAATGAATGCCAACTTGCAACTGTATCATCATCTATGTCTGAACCGAGTAGATCAATCAAAGGTGCTACCACAAATGGTCTCTCCCAAATTCTTTCATGTGGAACATCAAGTATCTCAGAATGGATCTTGAACTTCCCATAAAACAGAATATCCAAGTCAATAGGTCTAGGACCATATCGAATCCCAGTTGTACGACCCATGTCCTTCTCAATCTTCTTGAGTGCTCTCAACAACTCGTGAGGCCCTAGTTTTGTGACACCTCTAACAGCAGAATTCAAAAACTGAGGCTGATCAGTTACATAAGCAGGTGCTGTCTCATATAAGCAAGCATGCCTGGTAATCTTTATACCTGATTGCTTCATTAGGTGCAATGCTTCATCAAAATTATTAAGTCTATTTCCGACATTACTTCCCAAAGCAATTATTACTTCCTGCTCCGGGGAATGAACTTCCACTACACAATCTGGGGACGAATGGATAGAGCAAACGCCTGGTGCTACAAAGCAAGATCGGAAAAAGAATATCAATCAATCAATCAATAACTACGTCTTTATGCCTTAATCCTAAAACTAGTTGAGTGTCAGCTCTATGAATCCTCTATGTCCATTATGTGCTACAAACAAACCTCTCTATAACGGTATCATTTTCTAAATACTTTTTTGGCTGCTATAGTACAATGCTACATAACATGAAAAATCGGTTTCATAAAGAGCTTGGCCGTTCTAGAGAAATGTTATTACAGAGGATGAATGACTGTATTAAGGTCCATTTTATCTCAATTTCTAAGGTTCAAAATAAATATTTTAGAAAAACGGCTTATACATCCATCAAGATTCAACATAACCCCTCAATCAAATGTTGTAATGAGAAGCTTAAACCCATCAAAACATCTCAAAGATCAACTTCTGACATTATCCAAAGCAAAATCAGAAACATGACATCATAATTTCTTTAGAAAAAGCTATAATTTTGTATAAAATAGTATTCACCTTACCCCTCTCGTAGAGGTAGAAAGACTATTTCCGAAGACCTTCAACTCAACTCAAGTAACACAATAAACAAAGCAACTTTCAAAAATTAACATAGATACACAAGGCAGACATAGTAACTAATAACAATATCATTACATAGCATTCAGAAAAAAGAACAGTAACAACAACAAAATATTCCATTAATACCACTTATTGCAAATACCAATTACATCAGAACCTAATAAAGATTGAAACTTTATCACTGATAGAGCACAAAAAGATTGGGAAAACAAAAAAAAGAGGACAAAAAGGGGCTTGAAGTTACCATAACACGATTTCTTGGATGTTTTGAACCCAATTTTTTTGGGCAGAAAACGCCTGAAGACATTCATTTCAACAATGATACAAAAACTCAATGAAGATAATAATGTTAATGGCTCTGTAGCATTCCAAGATTCACAAAAATGGAAGAAATCTTCAAAATTATCATATTATAAACATCAAAAAATACAGTAAAATGGGATCTTGGAAACAGATTAGATACCCTCTTTGTTGAGCAGATTATATTTTACTAATAGAAAAGCAAAGCCTAAAACATACCTAGTGGCAGTTTGTTAAATTATAATACACACTAGGGACATTCTAGTCATAAAAAATATCTTTAGGTATATTAAAAATAGTTATTTAGAAATAATGAAATTAAATTAAAAAAAGAAAAAAAAATACTCAAAAACCCAAATTCCAAAACCCCTCTCCTCATCCAATTTCTCTTTACTACTTCACAGTGACCTTGAAGGTGTAAAACCCCAGTACCCATTATTGGGTCTTCAGGGTTGTAAAGATTGAATCTTTAAGTTCTTTTTACTATGGCTGCTTTGTCTTTCAGCTTTTTTTCTACACTCTCCAGGTTCTTTTTACTCAATTCTTTTAAGTTTTTTTTTTGTCTTTCTCATATGCTTCTTTCATTTATTGTTTAGTGCATTTGGTTACATGTAAAAAAAATGATACAAGAAACAGAGAATTAGTACAGAACTTCTAAAGGTGTCACCTTTGCAACTATCTTGTGTGTGGATAACATTCTTTTGTGGTAAAATTTGGAAGTGAAGTTGAATTTCTGTGTCCATGTTTTCATATACTAATCCATTAGTTTGAGGGCAAGTCGAATTTCTTCCATTTTTTATAAAGCATAGCCGGATGCACTAAGCTTCCACTATGCGCGATTTGGGAAGGGCATGACTATTATTTATGTTTGCATAATTTTGGTTTGAGGTGATTTAAATGGAGTAACATGGTTATTCATGTACCGACTTCAACTTGTTTGGAATTGAGTAGTAGTTGTTTTTGTTCTATATGCTTTTGATTAGTGCACAGAGGGAAGTGTTGGCTTCACTGCTAGAGTTGCTCTTTTGGCAACTTTAAGGAACTAGCCGAGTGCACGGGGTAGCCCTTTTTATTAGTGCATTGTTAGAGTTCATCCATTTTGTTATTAATAGACTAGGAAGGGGGAAAAGAATAACTGAAAGAAAGGCAATCAATTAGTTATTCGTCAAAGTTTCATTTATTGTGGAGAACAACCATTAACGTATGGAATACCGAACAAAATCAGTGGCTTTCGAGTAATTTTTAATTTTATAATCAGTCAGTATGCAGAGAGGGTGTTTGTCTTGATTGTAATATGAACGTCAAACGGAGATTCAATGTCTTTGCTCTTCTTTATGCATCTTAGATTTTCTGACCTCAAACATGGAGTAAATTTGAAGGATAACTACTGCTGAAACTAAAATATGCTTCAAACAGGAAGAGGATAATACTAAGATTCCATCTTTCTCTGATATGCAGGCAGCATCTGCATTGGAACTTTTACCCAAATTTGAAAGTAATGCAACTTCAAGATCTTAAACTTAAAAATAAATGGGTTCTAATGGCAGTTTCAAAAGGAGGAACTACAGAGGGTATACCTGAGGAATTATCGGAGACAGAGGTGGTTGGTGCTGGGAAAAAGACCGGCAGGACATCAAAACAAGCTCCAGTTTTGTCTAGGCGAAAGAAAGTAGTTGAGTTTTCAAATGATGAGGAAGCGGAAAATACTTCAGGGTCAATTGAAGAACCCAAAAAAACCCAGAGACGAACCCGAAAGAAAAAAGACACAGTGGAGAGTTCGATTGGTGATTCCATATCCGATGTGGAGGGTAATGTCACTGATGAAGACGCTGTAACAGAGCCAGAATCAAGTGGGAAGCCCAAGAAAACCCGAAGAACCCGGAAGAAAAAAGAGATAAAGGAGAGCTCATTTGAGGATTCCGTGTTAGGTGTGGAGGGCAATGTGACAGATGAGGAAGGCTCACCAACTTCAAGGTCAAGTGAAGAGCCTGTAGAAAAAAGAAAACGAACTGCAAAGAAAGGTACAACCAATTTATAAATTTATCTTCCTCATCATGGAGCACTTGTGCTCTCTTTTATATTTGGTAAGTTTAAGAAGTTTGAATCACAAATCTGCATAATTTTGCAGCTGCTTCTAGCTCTAGTAGCTTGGAGAAAGAACCAACGCAAAAGGCCACAAGGGGGAGGAGGAAGAAGGTTAGAAATTTAGAGGATGAAGGTAGCCAGTCAGAACTTAGTGATATTGAAGAAGAGCTACATGTTGCAAATGTTGATGCCGATAATGAGGAAGAACTGGACTTCGATATAGATGTTGGAGAGGATATTAGCTTCACGTATGGATGGCCACCCCTTGTATGTTGCTTTGGTGCAGCACAGCATGCATTCGTTCCTTCAGGGAGGCCATCCAATAGACTTGTAGACCATGAATGGCATGAAAGAATGAAGGATGTAATGTGGGATCCTGAAAAGTTTATCAGGGCTCCAGGGGGATGTTCAAGTAATGTTGCTGTGGCTCTTGCGAGTTTGGGAGGTAAAGTTGCCTTCATGGGGAAACTTGGTGATGACGATTTTGGTCAGTCCTTGGTATATTTTATGAACATCAACAAAGTTCAAACACGATCAGTTCGCCTTGACAGTAAAAGAGCAACTGCCATTACACATATGAAGATAGGTAAGAGAGGGGGCTTGAGGATGACTACCACCAAAGCATGTGCTGAGGATTCTTTATTGAAGTCTGAGATCAATATAGATGTACTTAAGGAGGTGAGAATTTGAAAAAACCTAGTTTTATTTGGAAATATGAGAAGATTAATATTCTAGTTTTCCTTTTGGGTGTGAAAGTTTTCCGATAGGCTTCTTTGTTGGAATTTACAAGCATGGAAGTCATTCTTGACATAATTCTTAATATTGCATAATCTTAATGGGATCATAAAATAAGTTACATGTTACTTTTTCTTTTTGTTTTTGAATTCATTTTGTATGTTCTGTTAGTACTAAGTTGTTTCCTTTTGTTCTAATATGTCACACAGGCAAAAATGTTTTACTTCAATACATTTTCGTTGCTTGACCCAAATATGAGATTAACCACATTACGGGCAACAAAGATTTCGAAGAAGCTCGGAGGAGTTGTCTTTTATGATCTCAACCTTCCATCTCCACTATGGGAATCAGGTGAAAAAGCCAAAACGTTCATACAAAAAGCATGGAATCTTGCAGATATCATAGAGGTCACGAAACAAGAGTTAGAGTTTCTCTGTGGAATAGAACCCTCCGAGAAGTTTGACACCAAGGATAATGACAGGTCTAAGTTCACTCACTATCCACCAGAAGTTATTGCTCCACTTTGGCATGAAAATTTAAAGATTTTGTTCATGACTAATGGGACTTCTAAGATTCATTACTACACCAAGGAGCATAATGGTTCTGTTCTAGGGTTGGAAGATGTGCCTCTTAGCCCTTATACTTCTGATATGTCTGCATCTGGAGATGGCATTATTGCAGGTAAAGAATGACCACCTTCTGTATAATTTTTTCCTTCAAAAGCTTGCTCATTTGAGACGTCGCAGTCTACTATGTGATGCATTTACGGCTTTTGACTGATACCTGCAATATTTATACCAATTGGTAACTTGACATCTCTTTGCCATGTATTCTGATATATATTTACTCAACTTTGGATCAATAGATAGCAGTAAGGTAACGACTTAACATTGAATGAACTATGTCACATCTGGACAGGTGATGTTTTCCATCCAGGTTTTTGCAGGCCAATGGATATCTTTAGTTGTTCATTTAGATTCTCATTATCACTGCTCAATTGCTTACAAAAAGTATCCTTGTTTCAAAAAAAAGTTGTTACTTAAAAAAGATATATATACCACTGAGATCTTCTTGCAGTAGACACAATGTGTGTATTTCCATTGTAATGAAATGAATATTGTCCAAATTGTGACGGGAGAATGACTGGAAAGTTTTCATTTTCTAAATAGTGTCTATGTGATTACATCTAGTGAAATTGAGAGATGAATTGTCATGGGAAACCAATAGACAAATTCAGCCGTAGTTTGGACCAAATAATGTGTGCATTGCATTGGTGACCTTCATGAAAACTTTTTGTTGAACCCCGTTCACTTATTAAAAAGAAAATACAAGATGTATGGCATATATTTTCATATACTTATATGCTGTATCCAATTTTCCTTGCAAGTGTAGGACTCGGGATTTCAATCTCTCTTGGTCCTTAATAAGAACCTGCTGCTTATCATGCCAGACATCTACTTTAGCATCTTATATTCGGTTTTACTGTATCTCCACCTATTAGCTTGGTTTGTTTCTTGTGAAGAACAAATCATTTTCTGTGCTTGTGCTATAAGGTCTTCGCAACTTAATTTTTGTTAAAATTTTTGTTCAGGTATCATTAGAATGCTGACAGTTCAGCCTCATCTTATGACCGATAAAGGTTACTTGGAACGAACTTTGAAGTATGCTATTAGCTGTGGTGTAGTAGATCAATGGCTACAGGCGAGGAGATTAGGGTATCCACCTAAAGAAGGTATGGAAGATGACGTGGTCCCAGACGACCATGGCATAAGGTCAGTAACAGAGAGGGAATACAGAACACTAGTTCCTGTAAGTTGATGGTTTGTATGCCTTGTAGCCCATTATGCTTGTGTTGCCATGAAATGCTAGATGCTCTGTCTCCCTTGGAAAGTTGTTGGAAATATGATTCTTTCTGGCATCACTGTGATTGTAGCTGTAACTGCTCTCTTACACGATCTTTATTGAGTTTTGGAACATCGTGGTATCGGAGAAATCATACAGAGGGAAACACATCTCTAATTCCATATTCCCTAGGCTTTCTTAATGTAATATTTGACTATTTTTTGACATATTGGAGAAATTTAGATCATTTACCAGCATAAAATGCATTGCATTTGTTGTATACCATTGACCAATATCATGTCATCACCTTTTTGTTATTCCTGAATGCACTTGTTAGAGATTGAGCCCTTTTTGTGACCCTATGGTGTCTGGAGCCCACTAGACTGACTAATCCGAATTCACGCCTGAGGTAGGCCACTATGGGGAGTGTGGTGGGGTGGAGTTTTTTTTTTTTTTTTGGGGGGGGGGGGATTCTAGCGCGCTCCCTGTCAAGGATGACTCCATTTTCAAAGTTCTAATTCGAGATTTCTGATAAAAAGTGAATGAGCTTTTATCACCCCCACCACAATCAAGGTTTGAAGAATTCTCATAAACTCAGTTTCTCTAAAGAATTGATTCTTGTTGAATAAAGATGAAAACAGGTTGCAGAGGTCTTAATATTCACTTATATTGGAACTCCATTTTTGTATACATAAATAAACACTCCAACTTCGAGAGTGTACACGGTCCGGTGCAGGGGACATGTCCGAAAGTCCTCTGAAAAAAGAGGACGACGGGGGAGAGGCTGATGCGGCGGAGTCATTTTCCTCGGATAAGTAACACCTCAACTTGATCTCAACTTGTAACTAAACACTTCCCATCACGTGTCTCGTGGACATCGATGCTGGTGTGACACATAAATCTTGCAGCAATAAACATGTTTAATTCAACTTGTTGTACACAATGTAAATTGCTAGAGTTTACAAAGAAACTAGCAAGTTCAAAAAGGAGATTATAGTAAAGGATCCAATTTTATTGCCATCTTCCCCAACAAACACACTTCTCAAACCCCACCTCAGAAGAGAGGACTGCAGGTGGAAGATTACCTATTCCAACAGAACAAAAAGTTCCACATTTTCTTCTCAAACAAGAAAAGGGTGTCAAAAATTTGAAGAAAAAGAGGGGAAGATCAAAAGAAAAAGACTTGATGAAAGATGAGAATAAACTAAGTTGCATATGCCTTTGCTACATACACCATCATACATTTTTGAAAGCCTGGCCCTACTCGGAAAATTTTGCCCCGTCAAGTTTCGAGGCAGCTGCCTTGTCCAGAAACCAAACCAAATTCCCTTTAGTTGGCTGGACCATTTTTGCAGGCAACGTCGGGCAGTCAGGTCCAACTTCATCAATTGCCGAATGAACGGCCTCTGCTTTGCTGCTTCCAGTCACAACTATAGCTACATTGGACGCGGAGTTGATAACTGGCAAAGTGAAAGTAATCCTCTCTGGAGGGGGTTTGGGTGAGTCAGTGAGAAACGTTACCCACTCTTCTTTCTCATCAAGTATGGAGTGATTAGGGAAAAGAGACGCAACATGTCCATCTGGTCCCATTCCCAGAAGGATGAGGTCAAACTTGGGGCAGTCACTGATGTCAGAAACGCTGATTACACGAGTTCTCACAAGCTGTCGAATAACAAACTCATAGTCTTCAGCAGCTTTCTCTGCTGAGACCGTGTCGTTAATGGAATGTACATGGCTTGGAACAATAGGCACCTGAAACATAAAAACACAATATAAATGAGAAATGCAAGAGAAGACAACTTTGGAGATCAATATCAGTACCAAAAGATCAACATTAGAATACCAAGATTTCGTTTTGTTTAATAAGTTGGTTATAAAGATTTATAGGGAAATGATTGAAAAAACGGAAGATGTCATAACTCTGAAACCGAGCTAACTAGCATTTGCATTACAAGTGATATGATCTCAAAAAACTTAAACAATCATCGTGTAAGGTTTCGATAAATATAGAAGCAACACAATAAAACAATGGTGAGGTTTCAAGTAAAATAATTTTCCACAGTCAGCAAGTTTACATCAAAGTAAACCTATAAGCCATGACAGCATGACAGATGCACTTAACATCAGTAAGCTTGAAGCAAATAAAACTGAAGAGAAGCGTTGCTTGTACTGCCGCGAAGTTTTAAATCAATCACTTCAGGCCAGCAGCCAGGTAGTTGATCTTAGAATGACCTCGAGTTAGTATTTCAGCCACTTTGGGATCCAGAGAACCCATAGTGCGCGACTACAATTGAACATTGTAAGGAACTGAAGCCATCATAAAATTATCTTGTATGACATGTTCACTGTAAATCCAGCTTTATATGCATTCTCAGTTGATCGATGAGCTTAGTTCAATGGAAATAGCTACAGATCTCCAAATAAAAGCACTTACACCGTAAATCCATTGATGTCACTGCCTCTAAGCATCAAAACATTATATACATAGTAATTTAATGAACCTCTATATTATCTTGCCTCCGAAGAAAAAAGAGCACCAAGAAAAACCCATAAGACTATCGAGAATTTTACTGAACGCGGTTATCTACCACATCCAGCCCCTAAAGACCAGACACTACAGCTCAGAGAGCGCAAGGAAGAAAGAACATCCTCCCTTCTATATTGGATAAACACAAGAAATATACATTAAAAATAATATCAACAAGTACATTTGACTGGTCTTTAGCATGAGGATTAGACAAAAGTTCTGACTACGACAGCCTGGATGCCTCCCTTCTTATTTGAGATGCACCAATACAGAGAGGAAAGTATCTAATTCTTCCACCTTGACGTTGTACAATTCTGTATTATACAGCTGAAAGATAGTATCTTTATGATAAACTGAATAAACCGAAAAGAGGAACACCTCATTAGAGGTCTATTTTAGAGAATACTTGACAGAAGTGCATGTCATCAAGGATCACAACGCAAAATACGGAGAGCCATTGTTATAACTAAGATTTGTATCAATAATAATATTATTAGTGCATTAACATAAATACGACATGTGAAATTATAAAAACGAGGGGTAGATCAACAGTATGCAAGAAGATCAATGTAAAATTATCTACCTTGGACAAAAGTCCATCCTTGGCAAGCTTGTAATTACTGTCAGCATGATTTTTCGCCACCACACGTTCGTCCACCCAAAATATATACCACTTAGCCCAATCAACAGTTTTGCTATAAGGAGCTTCACACAGTTTTCTGCTTTCCATGGATTTTCAAACCAATTGACTACCTCATAGAGAAGGGAAACAAAAACATTTGAACAGGAAAATACAACACACTTACATACCCCATCAAGCTGATGAGGGAGCCACCAGATAAAGCAATAGCAAATACCCCCCTCTCCTTCACAGAAGCCTCTGATAATTCTGCGATATAATCTGCCAAATCGGTGTTCAGTTCGTCCAAATACTCATAAATCCTCACCTCTCTTCCATCTTTATTAGCCCCAGAAAGAGCCATCCTTATTTAGAGGATGTTAAATAACACTGCTCTACTGCACAAATCATAAAACAAAGTAACAAGTCAACTACAACTGAGAAAAGAAAAAGTAGTCTTAACAATTCCACAATGCTCATTTAGCATGAATTAAAACACCATATTTTACAATTGCACAATCTGAAGAAAAGTTAAGGGGCAAAATCATTGCTTTCCTTTTGGTTAAACAACAACAACAACAACAACAAACTATGTAGAATGTATGCAGACTTTAACCCTACCTTAGGAGGTAGGTAGAGAGGTTGTTTAGACCCTCGACTCAAGGAAAAACATATCAAAAATCATGTCAAAATACTATAGATAGCATGACAAAGCATTATGAGGAAAAATAATAATAAAGGAACAGTAACTACAACAAAAATGAGAATTCAGCAACAACTGCACTACATGAACTCCTTGAACACACATAGTCAACAAAAAAAAACTGATCTTTAACATTGGCAAACAACCCCCCCCCCCCTCCACACACACACACACCAAAAAGAAAGAACAAGCAAAACCAGCAGTCAAATTCTGAAATTAGAAACTCAAAAATCAAGAACACATGAAACTAACCAATTCAAACTCATAATTCAAGGTTCAGAAATCAAACAGACTAGTGCATGATCACTACTTCATTTATATTGGGGCAAGGGAAGAGGATTACAAAGTAAAAAATCGAGGGTTCAGACAGTCAACCAACTAGCTACTAAGATTCTTCAATGCATGATCACTTACACAAACATCAAAAGGGGGAAAAAGAGACAAAAAGAACTAAACTTGATCAACAACAAGATCAAACCACCATATCACCAAATCAAGAACATGCACATGAAAAGAAAAAGAAGCTCAAACAAACAACACTAAACACAAAACCCCAAATCACAAAAATCATCATCCTCTTCCATTAACAAACTAGAGTTTCAAAAAACCCACCAAGTAATCACCAAGAATGTCAAAACTAGAACCCCGAAAGAAGAAAAAAATACAATCTTGGATTATCATTAACATACAATATATACAAATATAAAGAAGCAGAGAAAGAGGGGTTCTTACAAAGAAAAAAAAGAAAATGATGTGTTTTAGGCAAAGAAAGGGGAAAAAAATTGAAGAGGTGTGAAGAAGAGAAGATGTGTATCAGCAATTTCTACAACATATATAAAGACAACACATACACACACATACATACATACAATAAAAATAAAAAACTAATCTTGAAACATCTTTTTTTACTGAATACAACATGAATTTTGCTATGCTAAATATATAAAAAGTTTTAATTTTGAATTTATTGTACAAATTTAAATTAATCAAATTTTAATATACAAAAAAGATAAAACTTTACCTTGTGGGATACCACATGATGGTGACAAAAATGTACAAAAGTCTAATTATTTTTTTGTTTCAATGGATAAAAATGAGAGAGAAAAAGATGAATCATGTTCCTTACCTACTTTTTAAAAAAAAATTAAATACAAGAAAAAAAAACATCTAATGTAAAACTTGTGTCAGAAAAAAAATAAAATTCTTAAGTAAAACAAAAAGTTTTCCTAGATCTTCTGCAGTTAAATAAATTCTTAGGTAATTAATTAAGTAATTAATCTCAAGTTAAATGAAACATTATTAACATCCTTGCTCTCTTCTCTTAATTTCTTATCTTTATCTTTTGTTGCTCAATTAATTTAGATTTAAACGCTTTTTATATGATCTGACATTTTTATTTATTTTATCATAACTTATATATATAAATCTATGAACATAATTATATTTAGGTGAATGTAAATGACTTTTTTTTTAGTGAATCTTATATAAAATATTAGGAATATTAAATATAAAGATGATTATAGCAAATAAAAAAAATATTGCATAACTATTTTAATTTTTGAAGAAAAAAATTATTTTGTCATTATCCTTTTGTGGGAGAGAAAAATTAATTCTTGATAGGTAACACTTGTCCAATTATTAATTTGACAAGTGTATGATTCAAATTTTATTTTGTTTTAAAAAAAAAAATCTTAGTTGGTGGGATTCTTTATATATTATTTTAATTTTATTTCTCATCTTAATTAACCTTATCTTTCCTTTTTAATTATCTCTAATCTCTCCATCTTAATTTAACTTTATCTTCTTTTAATTTATAAAAATAAATAAATTTAAAATAAAAATCAAATCCAATTGGCTGTCTCCCTAAAACCAGCTATTTGTCTCTTTTTACTATATTAAGCCATCTGTATATATTGTACTTTCTCTTCATTAAATATTTGTGGTCCCAATTAGTTCATAAAATTAATTAAATCTCACATGTAATGCTTGATTACTTAAGAAGTTGGATGATAATACAGATTATCATATTGCTAATTTTAATTAAAAAAATAGGATAATTGAGTGACAGCGCGTATCATTAAAGTATATTGTGAAATAGAATCATATCTTTCTTTCTTTAGAACGATGAATTCCAATACTGATTATATAAAAAAATTTATATTTAACGCATACATATTTGATGGATTTTTCCAACACAAGTATAGCGTTTGAGCATAAAATATTGATCTCGAGCAAAATTATTATGAATTTCTACATTTTCAATTATTTATATAAAACATGAAAATTTAAATTAGCCAAACTAGTAAATTTCGTATATACAAAATGATGGAATAGAACAAAAGACAGGTTATGATCTGTAGTTTGGATAGATTTAATTCCTCCACTTAAAAAAAAAAGTTTTCTCTCAATCTAAATTAATGAAAGATTGTGTTATAATTTTTGAATAGAGAAATATATTCAAAACCTCAATATTAATTATCTATAAAGATACATGATTGGTTTAATATATATAACTACTTTGATAAGCATAGTTTCATCAAAAAGATTAGCTCTAATTTAGTCAAAGATCAATTAAATACAACTAAATGAATCATTAAATAATGTATATTAAACCAATCATGTACCTTTATAGATAATTAACATGCTTTTCTATAACGGGGTTTTGAATATATTTCTCCTGTCTTAATTTATATGGCATTGTTTAATTTAATATAAATTTTAAAAATTAAAAAAAAAAGACTTTTGAAATTATAGTCTGAAATAAAATTTTAATATTTGTGTGGACAGGTAACAAATCATTTCATTCAAGATAAAAAAAGAATTTAAAATTCTTTTTAAAATAAACTAACAAAAAAACGGGTCATATAAACTATTAGTAATAGAGAAAATAATATAAAAAATGTATATATGTCAACATCAAATTAATACAACTTTACCATGATTAATTTATTAAAATAAGATTGAGAATGCAAATTTATTAACTATAGTTAACCATAATGGTATTATCAATTTGATATAACTACTACAAAGTATTTGCCTTCATTGGGATTATGTAAGAATTCACTTTGTTTTTTTTTTCTCTTGAATTATTCAATTTTCTTTAGAACCAAATTTCATGTCAAATCTTTTTTCTTATGCTTTAATATTAAAGAAATTGGGATAATGTATAAATATCTCTTCAACCTGTGTTCGAAATTTTATAGACACACTTATACTATACTAAAGTCCTATTACTTTTCTGAACTTATTTTATTAATAATTTTTTATCATTTTTCGGCATGTGTGACACTATCTTATGGGCCCATGCTAAAATTTCAAGAAAAAAAAAATAAGAGTGAGAAATAATGAACACATTATCAAAAAGGGTTTTGGAATCTACAAGCAATCATTTTTTTTCTTCAAACAACAATAGGAAGATAGTATAAAGTTTTTTCTCAACTAATTAGAAACCCCACAATATTACAAATTAACACTTCCTACCCTATATGGAGAATCTTTTTTTCCCCTCATTATTTTTTTACTTTGATCATCGAAAATTATCGAGGGTTTATTAAAAATAATTTATATGTATTCTACAAATATAAAGTATGATTTGTATACGTCTTATTCTCTTTAAATTTAACTTATAAAACTACACAAAGTATGTTATGATTGTCGTTGATCATTCATTTACTAATTTTTTCTAAATTTTAATAAGATAGAAAATGAAAAAGAAAGGATTAAATTAAAACTTTACACCTAAGTAACATAAAATGATGTTGAAACTGATGGTTCAAAGTACATCTTTGATATAGGATGACCTCAATCCCCACTTGAGGGTGGAGCTAGAAGTTAAACATATGAGTTCGATCGGACTTAGTATATTTTCGTTTAAATTTTTAACTTCGTACATTATCAGGTTCATTTTGGAAATGGCTCTTCAACATATGAATTTGAATTTTTTCATTACGAATAAAAGAATCTCAATCATTTCATTGCAATCTGATTAAATTTTCAATTTTAAGAATCTAACATTATCAATTATATAGATTTTTTATTTTTAATTTTTGGTTGGATGGGGCCTTTGGATGGTTTACTTCATTTGGAAAACAAAACATGAGACATGAACAAATCTTTAGGCTTGTGATATGTTTCCTATTTGATTCTAAACATTGACAAGAAAATAATTGAACTTATACCATACACCTCATCATCATTATCTATTAATTTCATATTAAATATCTATCAACAAACTATGAAACCCTATAATTATAGGAATATTTTTTTCTAAAATTTTTTTTTCCCCTTTAGTTGCTCCATTTACAAGTTTTCTACTATGACATCATTGTGAAGAAATTTTATGTTCCTTCTTTAATGTCAACCTTTTGCTCAATTGATTTTGAACCATCAATTACTAGGAGTGAGAATAACCTAATTAATATTATTTTGGAAATTTTCTAGTGGTCCATATTTAAATTACTACAACTTTAGATATCACTTTCCATTTATTTATTAGTTAATGAAAAGAAGAAGAAAAAAACATTAGTTGATGGTTAACATGTATTTGGCATTAAAAAGGATTGAAATATATTTTTTTGAAAATTTTAAATATGATAAATCAGTTAGAAATATATATTTTCTCTGTCTTTTTTTTATATATTATTTTTTAATTTTTTTTGAACTAATAATCTTTCAAGAAGATGATATGTTGAATCCAAAATATAATTTGACTACTGATAAGGATGATGAAATCTCAAGTAAGACAATGAGAATAGTTTGAAAAAAAGAACCATTGATAGTGGTAGTTTGAACCAAGTTGCAAAAAAATAATTAAATATAATCAAGATATGGCAAATTTTATCATTAACTTTTTGATATAAATAAATATAAGTAATTTGGCATTAAAAATGAAAATTAATTAATCATACAAATAAAATTTGAAGAAACATGAATATTTTATTGATTATACTGTGAGTACAATTTTGTTTTTTTCTTGGTTCTTCTCTCATATAATTTATCCATGATTCCTTCTCTCATAGAATTTATTTATGAATCGAGGGGTATTTCTCGAACTAAAATGATTCTTTGACATCTATATAAATATTCAATGAATTTTTGAAATATTTAAATATCTTTTCAAGAAATATTATACTCTTTATATATACATAAGCTAGGATTTTAGGTTAGAGTAGCCGCTAAGAATTCTAACGAAAATAAAATACATCTTGTAGAATCTCAACTAAAAATCTAAAACTGAACAAGTTTTTAATATTTTCACAAATTTTCAATATCTACTCTTACAAAAATTAAAATCCTAATAAGTCATTACTTCTATTTAGGGATGAATGAATATACGATTTAAAATTTATAGAATATAGATCTATAATTATTTCTGCTTTTTAATTTTTTTTTATCAATTACTTATACATATTAAGTAAATACTTTAAATATAAAATTAGATAAAAAGTTATTGGTTGATTTTATAATGGATAAGCCCTACATATAGTTATTTTTGAACTTGAATTTGGCAACTCAATCAATTGTAGGGGTCCATAAAAGGCCCTTATAGTTAGTATTTTTTTTTCCTTTTAACTTAGGCAAATATGCCTGTCTTCTTTTAGATCTTATCCAACCTAATCCATAAATGTCCTTTCATTTCATTTATGAAACTATTGAGAATCCAAAGTTTTATTAGTCGGATTAATTCAGATTTATTTTCGTAAATTTTTTATTTTTATA